GTTTCTTGGTTCTGGATGAACAGGGTTTCATGTTTCTTCTTCACAGAACCTAAAAACTGCTCTGCTACAGACAACCTGCCACTGCAGAGCCTGTCTGGACCTCAGGGACCATGAAGACTCGTGTTCAGACTTACACTGCAGCGTCCCAGGAGACAGGATGTCCTCGTCCATATCGTCCAGGTCATCAGAGAGCAGGAGGTTCTGAGGGGTCGGGGGTCTCAGGCCCAGGAAGGCCGGGTCCAGGTTCAGGGCTTTAGCCAGGGCTCCCAGACCCGGATTGTTGACCAAACAGAAACCTGTCAGAGACTCGATCTGCTGCCAGCGGTGCAGTTTCTCCCGCAGAGCCCCCGTCACCTCGGCCAGCGCCTGTCTGAGGGGGGAGGGGCGTTAAACACCTGCGCAGGTACAACACAGGACTCCTGACAGCTGACCGCTCTGTGGGTCCGGTCTGAAAGGTCCAGATCCTGATCTGGATTCTGGGTCAGGTTTACCAGGACTAAAACAGGTCGACTTACTTGGCAGACAGGATCTTCTGGTCCACATCATCCAGAGAAGAACTGTGAGCCACATGAAAGGTCCCGAAGAGAGAAGTCCTCTTCTTCTTGATCTTCTCTGCCTGAAACATCATCTTCATCATCATCATCATCTTCATGATTAATATCATCATCATCATCATCATCATCATCACTATCATCAACAGAACCCCATTAGGACCCTACAAGGACCCGCTTCTGGACCCCATCAGGACTCTAAATGGACCCCATGAGGACTCTAAAAGGACCCTGTCAGGACTCTAAAAGGACCCCATGAGGACTCTAAAAGGACCCCATCAGGACACTAAAAGGACCCCATGAGGACTCTAAAAGGACCCTGTCAGGACTCTAAAAGGACCCCATCAGGACACTAAAAGGACCCTGTCAGGACACTAAAAGGACCCTGTCAGGACCACACCAGGACCCCATGAGGACCGTCCCAGCACCTGCTGTGTACTGTAGACCCTCTGGATGTGGACCTGGTTGCTCACCCCATCTTTGGCCTGCAGCAGCTGTTTCTCAGCGCTCTGCTTCTTGTTGTTGTAATACTGAACTTCCACCTCGTGGGTCAGCTGCAGCCACTTCTGCAGAGCCTCCGGTGGAACCCAGTGGACCTGCCACTCCAGCTGCCTCTCAGCCTCCTTCAGCGCCGTTCGAACCTGCGAGGAGCAGAGCAGCAGTTAGCTCAGGGTTCTGTTGGTCCATGGATGAGAAACCTGTGAAAGGTACGTACCTGCTCCAACTCCTGCTCAGCGTATTTCTGCCGGCTCCGCCCATTCTCTTCTCCTTCTCGCAGCGCTCTCAGTCGCTGAGCTTCCCCTTTGGCTGAGCTGATCTCGTTCCTCAGCTCCTCCTCCACCCGAACCTTCTCCATCTGAACCCAGAGCTGCTCCTCCTGAGCCTGCTGCAGCCTGACCCAAAACACGAGTTCAACCCATCAGTACCTCCTGAGTCCACATGGGGGCGCTGACCAGAGGATCAGGAGATCAGCAAWCATAGGTTGTTTAATGTGGGAATTCATTTATTTAAGTTTTTTAACTGAGTCTGTACTTTTTAACATTTTCAAATAAAATGATTTCATATCTGAGCTCCACAGTGCTGCTGACACACCACCAACACTGGACCTGACAGCAGGCGCCAGCAGGAGGTGCTGCAGCACCGTCTCAACAGGAAGTGGGCGTGTTTCTATTTTTAGAGACGACTGTGCTGTGGAGGGACTCTGAGAGGAAACAGAGCTGAAGCTGTGCTTCATCAGAACAGAAACAGTTCTTCTTCTTCTTCTTCTGCACATTAAAGATCAAACTTTCACCAGAAACAAGACTTCGGCTCAAAAAGAGCTGAAAATCTGCTGGATTAAATTAAATTACATCAGCCGAAGAGATGTGTTTTTAAAAGAAACCCTGAAGCTGAGAGAAACTTCAGCTGTTCATCAGCTAACGTCTCAGGAGTGGGTTTAGCTGTGTGTTAGAGGAGCTCATCAGTTCATCTGCTGCAGGTTGAATATTTATTACTTTTACACACATTAACAATTCAAACTCTGGTTTTACTCTGATTTGGTTACCTGAAGGATCAGAGGATCAAAGGATCAGAGGTCACAAAGGATCAGAGGTCACAAAGGATCAGAGGTCACAAAGGATCGAGGTCAAAGGATCAGAGGTCAAAGGATCAGAGGTCAAAGGATCAGAGGTCACAAAGGATCAGAGGTCACAAAGGATCAGAGGTCACAAAGGATCAGAGGTCACAAAGGATCGAGGTCAAAGGATCAGAGGTCAAAGGATCAGAGGTCAAAGGATCAGAGGATCAGAGGTCAGAGGTCAAAGG